CACTAATCATCAGGGAAATGCAAATCAAAACCACAGTGAGATATCGTCTCACACCTGTTAGGATGTCTATTATCAAAAAGATAAGTGGTCACAAATGGTGGTGAGGATGTAGAATAAAGAGAACCCTGTACTGTTGGTGGGAATGTAAACTTGTACAGCCACTCTGGAAAACAGAATGAAGGCTCCTCAAGAAATTGAAAATAGCACTACCACATGATCCAGCAATCTGACTTCTGTGAATACATCCAAAGGAAATGAAATCATTCTCTTGAAAAGATATCTGCATTCTCATGTTCATAGCAGAAGAATTCACATTAGCCAGAGTATGGAAACAAAGTAAGTCAAAAAATGGACAAATAAGGAAACTATGGGATAGATACACAATGGGATATTATTCACCTTTAAAAAGAAAGAGATTCTGTCATTTGTGACAAAATGGATGAACCTAGAAGGCAAAAATAAGCCAGACATAGGCAAATACTGCATGATGGAACCCCACTCCCCCAAAATTCAACTTCATAGAAACCGAGAATAGAAAAATGGTTGCCAGGGGCTAGGGAAGGGAGAAATGGGAAGAAGTTGTTGTTGAAATGGTACAGTCTTTCACTTATAAGATGAATAAGTTCTGATGATCTAATGTGCAACATGGTGACTATAGTTGATAACACTATATTATGTAATTGAAATTTGCTGAGAGAATAGAACTTAAATGTTCTATGTTCTCACCAAAAGAAAAAACAAGTAAATATGCAAAGACAGCGTGGAGGTTCCTCAAAAAATTAAATATAGAGTTACCACATGATCCAGCAATTACACAACTGAGTATCTATACAAGGAAAATGAAAATACCAATTCAAGGGGCGCCTGGGTGGCTTAGTCGGTTAAGCATCCGACTTTCGCTTAGGTCATGATCTAAGGGGTTCGTGGGTTCGAGCCCCGCGTCGTGCTCTGTGCTGACTCAGAGCCTGGAGCCTATTTCGGAGTCTGTGTCTCCCTCTCTCTCTGACCCTCCCCTGCTCAAGCTGTCTCTCTCTCTCTCTCTCTCTCTCTCTCCTAGAAATAAAATAAAAATATTAAAAAAAAAAGAAAATACCAATTCAAAAAAACATATGCACCCTTATGTTTATTGCAGCATTATTTACAATAGCCAACACTTGCTATTTCTTGTCTTTTGATAATAGCCATTCTGACAGACTTAGCTGATATCTCATTGTGGTTTTGATTTGCATTTCCCCAATAATTAGTGATGCTGAACATCTTTTCACGTGCCTGTTGGTTATCTATATGTCTTCTTTGGAAAAATGTCTTCAGATTTTCTGCCCATTTTTTAATTGGATTGTTTATTTTCTTGTTCTTAAGTTATCTGATCTCTTCATATATTTTGGTATTAACTCCTTATCAAATGTATAATTTGCAAATCTTCCCCATTCAATAGGTTGCCTTTTCATTTGGTTAACTGTTTCTTTCACTGAACAGAAGTTTTTTGGTTTAGTGTAGTCCTAATTGTTTATTTTTTGTTTTGGTTCCCTTGCCTTTGGAGTCAGATCCAAAAAATTCTCAAGACAAACTGCTTACTGCCTATGTTTTCTTCTAGGAGGCTTATGGTTTCAAGTCTACATTCAGGTCTCTTATCCATTCAAATAGATTTTTGTGTATAGTATAAAATAGTGACCCAGTTCATTCTTTTGTATTTAATGGTCCAGTTTTCCCAACACCATTTATTGGAGAGACTTTCCTTTCCCCACTGGATATTCTTGCCTCCTTTGTCATAAATCAGTTGTCCATACAGGTGTGGGTTTATTTCTGGGCTCTCTATTCTTTTCCATTGATTCGTGTATCTGTTTTTATGCCAATACCATACTATTTTGATTAATATATCTTTGTGGTATAGTTTGAAACTAGAGAGTCTGATGCCTCCAGGCTTGTTCTCTCTTAAGAATATTTTGACTATTTGAGGCCTTTTGTGATTCTGTACAATTTTTAGAATTATTTGTTCTAGTTCTCTGAAAAACGCCATTGGAATTTTGCATTGTGTCTATAGATTGCTTCAGATAGGATGGACATTTTAACAATATTCTTTTATTCATGAGCAAAAAAGATCTTTCCATTTATTTGTATCTTCTTCAATTTCATTCATCAATGCCTTATAGTTTCAGAGATTTTTATAAGACATCTACCCTGAAAACTGGAAGACATCCTTTTATTGTTGATGCATGGTTTCATGCTGTCTTTGAGGAAGAAGCATTTTACCTAAAGGACGCATTAAAGGAAAACAGCCTTGTGCATCCTCTGGGGTGAACCCAGAGAAGATCTGAGGCAAACCCAAGGACAAAAGATTCCTCCAGAGCAAACCAGCCAGTGTGTTCACTTAAATCATTTCATATCAAGCTCAGCTCTTTGGGGATATGAACATATACAACACGGGGTGTTTCTTAGAAATAAGCACTCTATAGAATATAAATATTATTAAAGTCACATGGATCAAAGATTCATAGAAAAAGACAGTAACAAAGAGGAAAGACAGAGAGAGAAAGGCACCCAAAGAGAAAGGGAGAGAGAGAGAGGATGACAAAGAGACAAAGAAGAAACTAGACAAACATCAAACATGGAGAGAAGGGTATGTATGATTCTATTTGTCAAAGGGAAAGAAGGTAGATATTTTTGTTCTTCGTAGGTTAATATGTAAATGGAATTCTGATTTATTAGCGGTCTCCAGCAGACGAGGTGATGATTAGCACATTTCCATATTTATAGAAAAGCAACACTAACTTTCCGGATTTATAGAAAATCAGCTCTTCACAAATAGCAAATTGTGCTATTATCGACATATGGTTTTCTATAAACAGAGCTGAGGTAATTATCCCTGGGACAATTTGTTGGTGGGCTCCTTTTGAATATTAACCACATTGGAAGCCCATTTCTGCCTCACAGATTTTAAAGAGGAGGGGCCATGAGACACCCCAGACAATTAATTAGTAATCCAACACCAAAGACAGAGCCCAAATGAAAGGCTTTACCCAGGACCACGTGGTGGAAAGACCATAGGTCCAGGGCTCTGACGCCAGCTTCCTGCACCCCTAGGCAAAGTAATTAACCTCCCTGAGGAGCCTCAGCATTTCTGGCCTAAAACTGGGATAATACCAACCTCCAAGTTGTCAAGAAAATTAAATGACAATGTACACAACAGCACCCAGAACCTAGTGGGTTCTCAACAAATATATACTAAGTTTCCATCCTTACATTTTTTAGTGATTCTAAAAATTCCCACTTGAATTAAGCTTTTCACACTCCTTTTTTGTACTGACCTATCATAAACTATTTGTTTTGTATCGTGACTCCATACATGTATGCATATCTGTTTAACTGGAAAAAAATCGATTGAAGCAATAACCTGTTTTTACTGCCTATAATCCTCTATGATATTTTCTATTCTCTCCTTTGTTGTTGTTCAAAACGTTGTTTATGATCCACACTATGGGGTTGCAACCTGTAGTTTATGAAGTTCTTTGCTGCAAGAGGGTAGGGACCATATTTAGATTTACTCACCATTGTATGCCTAGCATAAACACATAAGAGATATTCAGTAGATATTTGAAATTATAAAAGAATGGATACATGGATAGATGGATGAATTAATGAATGGTCCTAACCAATAATCTAAATTAATGCCCTCTTTCAAACTCTATGTCTTGTTTTACACACTCACTGCATACTGACCATTGTATCGAGTCCTAAAGAGATAAAGTGTCAGACATGGTACTTGCTTTCAAAGATTTTGCTATCTAGATGAGGAGAAAAATATTAACATTTGGAAAATTATCTTTTGAAGACTAAATAGTATGGAATTTATATGAATGTGTTGAAGAAATGGCCAGCCTAGGCTGATGCAGTCAGGGAAACTTCTTTAAACTGGGAATTTGAATTTAGCTTTAAAATATGGATAGATCTCTCAACCCTCTACTCACTCATTGACTAGGTTGGTGGTTCTCAAACTGTAGTGGTCATCAGAATCACCAGGAGGGCTTAGCAAACTGCAAACTGCTGGGTCCTTTATCAGTTTCTGATTTAGTACGTTTGGCATGGAAACCTGAGAATTTACATTTTTAACAAACAGGCTCCCCGATGATGCTGATGACACCAGTTGGAACACACACTTCAAGAACCACTGTTCTAGCAGTTTGGGGAGAGATCATGAAGGCTGTTGGACCCATGCTAAGGAGGTTAGCCATTCAGGATTTTAGGCAAAGAAGTGATATCATAGTACCTGTAAAGTAGAAAGATTATTCTTGTAGCAGTTGTTGACAATGGATTGGAGAGGCAAGCCTTCCCCTAGAGACCATTTAGGAGCCAATGCAGTGAGAAGTGGAAGATGGGAACCCAGCCCACTACTTAGCAGCGGAGATGGAGGAGAGGGGTGGAATGAGGGCTGGTCAGGAGCCAGAACTGAAGGTTCTTGGAGATCCAGGAGGAGGCACAATCTGGGATGACTCCAGGTTTCTAGCATCACTGACTGATTAATGGCAGTTCCATTAACCAAGAATCTATATTTATAATATGTTTTAGCATTTTAAATAACAAAACCCCAAATATCATTTCTTATCAAAGCCATAACTATAATGTAATAGAAAACACATAGTTTTGGGGAGCCAGACAAGTCTGAGTTCAAATCCTGTTTATAATATTTATTGGCAAGTCATTTCACCCTTCCGGACCTCAGTTCCCTATAAATAATAGTACTCTCAAATGGGTTGGTTACTCTACTGCACTTCAGGGTGCTCCTCACTCTGTTCTGCCCCCAGTCCATTGCCCCTCCTCACGTCTCCCTGCTCTAATTAGAGCACTGCACGATGCACCCTTCTCTCCGAGCACTAACTCTGTTACCTTGTATGATTGTCACGAATGAGACCGTCTGTGGCTCATAGTCAGTGCTCAGAAAACTGCAAAGCCAGTCCTGGGGTGTGCATTGACCACTATGTGCATACAGCTTCGGTTGTACTTACGAAGTGATTCCATTTTTTCTGTGTTGACCACCAGAATATATTCATAAATGCCACCCATTGATCCAGACGTTATGTAGTGAGTGCCGTAGTCATTGATGAACTTGGCATACAGGCCGTAATTGTACTGCTCCGGAAGCTCCATTAGTGACTGCAGCATGCTTTCATCCAGCACAATGTTGTCCCTCCTCATCTTAAAATGCGCGGTCTGCACCTTTGTGGAAATTCTGATGAAGTTAAATTTCTGCCGACAATCACCGCCATCGAATCAGGGAGAAGAAAGAGAGTACACGTTTTACCATATGATATAACGCAAAAGGTCAGCATTCAGTAGCTGTGGGAAATGCATGTATTTACGCATAAACATATGAGCATAAATACACACAATGGAGTGTTATTCTATTTTACAGGCATATATTAAACACCAGGGTGTGCCTAGCTGCCTCCCTTGTGCCTGCATCTCTGTTCCCACTGCTCCTGTTCAGGTCTCATTTGTCTCCACTCTCAGCCAGATTGGTTACTGCAATGTGCTTCCTGGGTGCTGCTATGTTCTGCCCCCAGCCCTCCGTCACCTCCGCGCATCTCCCTGCTCTCATTACAGCACTGCATGATGTAAGCCTCTTACACAAGTGTTAGGTTTCCATTAAAAATTACGCTTAGGGGGTCACCTGGGTGACTCAGTCAGTTAAACAACCAACTTCAGCTCAGGTCATGATCTCTCAGTTTGTGAGTTCAAGCCCTGTGTCTGGCTCTCTGCTGACAGCTTAGAGCCTGGAGCCTGCTTCAGATTCCCTCTCTCTCTGCCCCTCCCCCACTCATGATCTGTCTGTCTGTCTCTCAAAAATGAATAAACATTTAAAAAATTTTTTTAAATTTATGCTTAGGGGTAGTTTTGATGACATGAAATTCTAAGATGATACATTTATGTAACTTGTTAAACAAATACTGTAAATCCATAGTCACTGGCATTGTGCTTGGAGCAGAAGACATAATCTTTTTTTTTTTTAATGTTTTTTATTTATTTCTGAGAGAGAAAGAGAGACAGCATGAGCGGGGGAAGGTCAGAGAGAGAGAGGGAAATGCAGAACCCGAAGCAGGCTCCAGGCTCTGAGCTAGCTGTCAGCATAGAGCCCAATGCAGGGCTCGAACCCATGAACCGTGAGATCATGACCTGAGCTGAAGTCGGACGCTTAACCAACTGAGCCACCTAGGTGCCCCACAGAGGACATAATCTTGAATGAGGCTCCTGCTGTCATGAAGCTTACCTTCTAGTGATAATCTTGTACTATTAAGTAATAAGGTAAGGCAGGCTCCTGAGATAATAGGAGTCATATTGGATTGGTTTAAGAGGAAGAGAATCATGTATGGGCATTACTCCCAGGTAAACCTTGCTCCGAAGCAATAGTGAAATTATGAAAAGGCCACCTGCTCTGAGAAAAGTCCACATGACCCTGTGATGGCCAGCTCAGAGCAACACTTTCCCTTCAGAGTGATAGCTAACTTACGGCTAAGCTCCAGAATATAACTTACATTTGTTGAAGACATTTCATAATTGTATTTTCATCATCCAGAATACTTTTTGAGCCCCAACTAAATCCACAGTTCTGATATCAGTGTTATTGAGGCTTTTTGGTAAACTTACAATCAATTCAATAAATAGTTCTCTGGCCCCTGATGGTTTCTCCACCTTTATCAGACCCTACTTTCCCTTCCCACCCTGTGCCAGCGAAAGTCGTTGCAATCCCAAATTTGTGCAAGGCAATCTGCCATCTACAGGCCTTTGCATAATGCTGTTTCCCAGGTCCCGAACACCCTTTGTTCATTTCCATCTCCCTTCTTCGGGACAGCCTATTCTATCCTTTGGAGCCCCGCTTAGGTAGATGTCCCTTCCTCAAGGAAGCATTGCCTGGCCACTCAAGTTAATAGGAAGTTAGTGGTGAATGTTGGATGGAGAAATGAATGACTGTGCATGCCAGTCTTCTGATCTATTCAGAAAAGTAAGGCTTGCTTTAGAATTCTTCCAAAGCTAGTTCAGAGGGCCGGGCTGTTTCTCTTTAAGACATTACTATTCTAAGTACTTCCCTGTTTGCTCCAGGTAACCATGAAAAAGAATGGGGTGAAGCGATAAGAATTCTAGTCTTATCATTCAATTTTATTCCCTTTGTGGTGATTCTGTGTGCAAAAGTGTAATAAGAAAAACAAACATGATTACCACTGATCAGACATTTCCAATTACACAAGCAAATGAAGGTTCAATTACTACTGTACTTTTTGATGCAATTAAGGCAATACATGTTCAGCGTAGATTATGGAATACTGTTTGGCACAGGCATTATGTTTTAATACCTTATTATTATACTTGCTTAACTTATTCAGGGATGAAGAGTCTAGTGACCCGGATACACCCACATCCACTGTTACAGGGCTGCGTGCAGGGGCCACACCAACAGTCACTCCAGCTGACACAGACATGTCATTCTTTACTTTAGAAAGAAGTTCCTTCGCATCACTGTACAACTCTGAGGAGAATTTAGTATCTGCCAGGGCCTGTAAAGAAACAAACAGATGTTAGCTTTGTGCACTAGAGGTCTGTTCCAATCTGTAATTAATATTGAAATCTTTGTAAAATATTTCAAGGTGCAGAATTTTGTTTAACTTTGTTTATTTTGGGAGATGGAGTATGCATACATGTGCAAGCATGGGGGAGGGGCAGAGAGAGGAAGAGAGAGAATCCCAAGCAGGCTCCACACTGTCAGCGCAGAGCCTGATGTGAGCCCCCTGCAGATTTATTATAATTATTTTAAAAGGCTATTCCAAGCATCAGATTGATCCTCACTAAAATTCTGAAAATACAGCAGTTAGTTTAGTTATTATTTACTGCTTGTGCTAAACTATTTCTTCAAGGGGTGCCTGTATAACTCGGTTAAGCATCCAATTCTCAGTTTTGGCTCAGGTTGTGATCTCCCATTTTGTGAGTTCGAGCCCCGTGTGGGCCTTGGCACTAACCATGTAGAGCCTACTTAGGATTCTCTCTCCTTCTCTCTCTGCCCCTCCCTACCTGCCTCTCTCTCTCTCCTCTCTCTCTAAATAAATAAATTTAAAAAAATAAAATATTTATTTAAATACACACACGCACTCATGATTCTGATAAAATGCTATATTGTTCTGAGCATGGATTTTTTCCACCTGATTTTTCCTTCCTGTAGAGGAGGTTGCCTGTCTCTATAACAGAGACACCCAGGAAGCCCCATCTGGGCATGGATCTGGGAGGAAAGGGGCAAGGAGGCCCAGCAGGTGGTGGGAGTTCTAGGCGGAGGTTTGCTCTAGTGCCACCCACACATGTCAGGTTACTTCAGGCCCGCGGTCCGGTTGCATTTCTCCGGCAGCTGAAGTGGAGGCATGGTCTTGTTGAGCTGAGCTCAACATGCCTGAGCTAAGAAAGCTCAGGAGAGGCAGTGAGCTGTTCATGGTCTCAAATACTTACATTCTAACAGATCACAACTTGATAATAGGTCTTCTGACCAGCAGCCCAGAGAACTGGACCTGGAACCTGCTTCGTTGACTTTGGAATGGAGCCAAGATCTAGCAGGTACGTGATCACACCTGGGTTCTGCCTCTTGTTGGCTCTGCCCTTGCCTGTCAGCGCCCTTCAGCACAGAGCACGTGTGGGGGCAGATGTTAAGGGACCTTCAGCCACCAGTGAACTCTACAGGGAATAGAATCTTCCTAAGCAAGGCATCCATCTCCATCAACAGGCTTCTCCCTCCTTGACCCCTACCCCATAAGTGGCCTGGGAGCACCCTGGTCAGACTTACTTCAAAGTGGTACTTGAGGAAGTTGTAGGGTTTCCGGAAGTACTTCTCATCATCTCCGTAGTAAAGACGCTCACAGGCAGGGTCATAGCGAAGCTCTCTCCACTCCCCGTTGTATACCATCTCACACTGGCCCCCATAATACCTGGCATCGTACACACTCTGAGCTGGTTCCTGGCTCAGGATATTGTACCTACATTGAAAAGGCAGGCAGCTGCTGGGAGAGAACACTGAAAAGGCAAAGATAGCATCAAATATCCCCTGGAAGATGTTGTTGCTGGTCCGAGCAGTGGTTTACCAACTGTGTTCTCCGGAGCCCTAGTGTTCCTCAAAGTACCTTAAGGGCTACTTTGCATAAAACTGGGAACCAGAGTGTACTGAGCCAGGCCCCCAGGTTGCTTTCACCAGAGCAGCTGACAGCTCCATCAGCCCCTAGAACAGTGCTCCCACAGAGAAGGCACTCCTAAAAATTGGTTGTTTGAATTAAAGAGGGGTATGACAACTACCAAAAATCCAAGCACAGAGCCAGAAGTCTGAGCCCGTTTCCTAGCTCTGCCACGCCTAGCTCTGTGACCTTGGGCAAATCACTTAACCTCTCTGTGCTTGGGTTCCATCATTTGTAAAGAGCAGTTACTACTACTGTCCTCAGAGAGTTAAATATGATTTACAACATATAAGGAACCATAAAGTACTTAGCATGTATTAAGTAGTAAAGAAATGCTGCCATTGTTGGTTTTGTTTGTGTTGTTTCGCGAAAAAGTCTTTGCTGGTTAAAAAAAAATTAGATTTGTCATATTGGGTGTAACTCACATTGCTAACTTGAGACTCTCATCCTCAGAAAGGCCATTGTTTTCAGGGTGGCATGGAATGTCAGAGGGTACAATTTGAAAATCATGGAGACTCCTGTTTAATTTCCACTTTGATCACATAGTAGCTTTGTGAATTTGGACACATTCTAGAGAGCTTTCTGAAGCTCTTTTTCCTCATTTGAAGAACAGACATAATAAAACTACTTCGCATGGTTTTTATGAAGTCTAAAGGAGAGCATTAAAGTAAAATGGAAGTACAGTTGATCGTACTTACTAGGCACTCAACAAGTGATACTTCCTCTCCCCTAGCCCAGCATTCTGCCAGAAATACTTTCCTTTGCTTCCCTCTCTGGAGCATTTCGCATCCATCTGCCCAGGCACTACATTTTAGGCCATAGATGGTAGAATCTTACGTAGGCATAAACAGCATTACATAGGTGAAATACAGCTTTAAGTTTCTTTAAAAAGAAAAAAAAGAGAGAGAGAGAGAGAGAGAAAGCTAACGGAACAAAAGCATTTCAGTTTGGCTATGAGATCCAGGACCTAACAATCAAAACCTCTTACGGTATAGATAATAAAATGATTTATTGTCTCTGCCTCTCAAACTCCTATTCAGCCTTTAATACCCAACTCAAATATTGGCCCCTCTATCTGACCTTCTTTGATTATCCTGGACAGACAGCTGTTCCTTCCTCTGTGTTCCTATGGCAGCCAGTGATTATCTCTGGCATAGCATGTGTCCTATTTTTTCATTCCCTCCATGAAAAGACACAAAGGCAGAAGATGAGCAGGGGTTAACTATGAATAAAACCTGTCTTGAAGGAATAAATGGATAATTATAGAGCACCTAGCACATAGTAGATATTCAGGGTATGTTAACTTCCTTCTTCTCTTCCTTTCTCCATCTCTTCCTTCATATTAATGGAAGTGATGTATATAATAATAGCAATGGTGAATTGAATACACATTCTACCAGACATTTAGCACGCATTAACTTTCAACCTCCTGACAGTTTTGCCAATGCAGAAATTGAAGCTCAGAAAAATTAAGTAATTTGCCTATAGTCACAGGTAAAATTTTTTGACACTACAATCTGCATTCCTTCTCTTTACTTTGCTATTTACTTTTCTGTCGTCTCACCCATTGAACATGTTTCTGCCTTTGGCTTATAAATATGGACTCTCTGGTGAGCCCAACAAAAAGTCAAAGGAATAATTAGTTCTAAGACGTACTATCACCTCTAAGCAGAAGAGGTTACTAAGCCTGCTTATACTTAGACAAGCTGGTTGCAGAAGCCCCAGCAAAAATAAAAAGAGAAATTCCACTTTTTGGAAATCTATGCAGAAATACACACATGTACAAAGATACATGTACAAGGATGTTCACTGCAACATTGTTTATAAGAGGGGGAAATGGGAAACAATAAAATTATCTTTCAATAGTCAAATAAATTTTCATCTAGTTCTACTATGGGAGAAGACTTAGCAACCATTTTTATAAAGAGAGCAATATTAAATATTTTCGGCCTTAGAGCCCGTAGGTCTTTGTTGCAACTACTCAATTCCATCATTGTAGGGTGAACACTGTGTTCCAATAAAATTTTATTTACAAAAGCAGACAAGAGGCCACATTTGGCCCTCAGGCCACAGTTTGCTGACCCCCATTATGGAACACTATGTTGCTTAGAAAAAGACAATAGAAAATATGGGGGGAAATCTTCAAAATATATTAAACTTAAAAAGCAAGTTACACACAATATGTATAATATCACATTTATGTAAAATATGCTTATGTCTATCATGCACAATACATATAGACACAGCTTCCATACAGTGTGTATTTTCAGTGCGTTTTTTCCATGATCTGAAAGTCCTACACCAAACAGTTGACAGGGGTCAGTTCCAGGAGGGAAGTGAGAGAGGGCAAGTGGGTGGAATGCAGGTTGGAGAGGGTGAAGGAAGACTTTCATTTTTTTACCTCAAACATAAATTACTTCTGTAGCAATAAATAAAAATTTAAAAACTGGGAAAAGCTTACATTTAAAAATGGATATCAGGATAGGCTTCTGAGATCTTGAGCAGAATAAAAAACCACCTGTTGGGAGTGGGAGTGGGGCCATTCTGCTGGTTTCAGCATTTGGTGTAGGTAAAGCACATTTGTGAAGCATATTTAAATGCTTCTTTGAATCACATGAGAGGAAGGTCATGGTCTGTGATCTTGTTGCCAATAAGGAGGGAATTTGTTTTCAAGTTAACACCTCACTATTTCATGCTTCTACTATGTTTATCCCATAGTCACGTTCGAAAACAATAAGAATCCCATTTGATTAGTATTGGGGCTGAATTGTGTCCCCCTAACATTTATATGTTGAAGTCCTGGACCTCCAGACCTCAGAATTTGACTATATTTTGGTGGGGGAGGGTGGTCTTTACATAGGTAATTAAGTTAAAATGGGGCCATTAGGGTAGGCCCTAATGTCATGTGACTGCTGTGCTTATAAGAGGTGGTTAGGACCCAGACACACACAGAAGGAGGGCAGTGTGAAGACCCAGGGAGAGGATCGCCATTGACAAGGCAAGGAGAGAGGCTTCAGAGGAAACCAACTCCGCCATCACCTGACCTTGGACTTCCAGCCACCAGAGCTGTAAGAAATACATTTCTATTTTGTATGAGTCACAAATTTCTGTTGTCATAGCAGCCTGAGGGGACTGATATGCCACCTTAGGGGGACAGAGAGAACTGCCTCACAGGACACACTGCAGAGCAGTTCTCCAAAAAGACCCTCTTGTGTTGCTAAACTAATATTCATGATTGAAGAGAAGCCATTCCCTGCGCCCAAGCAGCCAGGGGGCAGGACTCACCCCAAGGCCGCACTCTCTGACCCTGGAATGGGGTCATACAGGCTGCAGTCGCTTTCCATGACCCTGACATCTTCACAGTCTTCCTCATCAGAGCCATCAAGGCAATCCATGTCTCCGTTACACACAAGGTGGCGTTTCAGGCAGCGACCTGAGAGAGGAGAGGCTGTGGATGCTTCCAGAGTCTCCTAGACTTCTCTCTCTTCCCATGACCCACACCCATAGTCACCAAGTCCACCCTACTTCTGAAACAGCGCCTCACCCCTCTCCATCATGTCACATCCTGTCTCTGTCCTCACTGCCTCTGCCCTCCCTCAAGCCTCAGTGTCTCCCACCTGTAGCCCCCAAGCCCAGCTCAGGCCCTGCAGCAGGCTCCCCTCTAGAATTCATTCTCCAACTAGCAGCTCCAATGATCTTTCTAAAATACCAGGGTAGCCATGTCATCCCCTGCTATGTATCCTTCCCTGGCTCCTAGATATTCCCATTCTTCCAAATGCCACAGTCTAGCCCCCAGTTCCCTACCTGGCCCAACCTCAACCTCTCTTCCCAGAGCCCTGACTTGCAATCATTCTGCACTATTGCCAGTCTTTAAATCCCCGTGCTTTTGCATATTCTTTCTCCTAGCAAGTCCATTGCTGCTTTCTAAGTCTCAGCTCCAGTGCCCCTTTGAAGCCTGCTCTGACTTCCCAGCACAGACTTGAGCATTCCCTGCCAGAGAGTCCCGTTGGACTATGAGCAAATACCCATTACACTGGCTATCCTACAATGTTGTCATCAACTCCTTGTAGATCTCTCTCCCAAAGAGACTAGGAGTACCTCGAGATCAGGCATAGTATCTTTTCATCTCTGTGTCACCAGCAGGTAGCACACTGCCTGGGACACACATGCCCAATCAATATTTATCCAGTGAATGGGTGAATGAGTGAATTGTACCTGTTCTAAATGAATCAGCAGATGTTCCTACAAACTTAGGTCAAAATTACTTGAACTACTGGTTGGCTTAAAATGCAGATTCCTGAGCCCTATTCCAAACCTACAGAATGACAACTTCTAGGGGAAGGGCTCAAAAGTCTGCATCTTAACAAGCTCCTCAGTGACTGTTTTGCACATTAAGTTTGACAGGCACAGCTGTTATCCCACTGGAATGCTACTCACCTGTCTCCTTACACTGGAAATCCTGTCCACACTGCACTTGCCCTAGACAGGCTGTGGGACTCTGGCAGCTGGCTTGATCCCAGACATCACCACTGCAGATGGTTCCCCCAAACTTGCTTGGCTGCAGGAGGCTCCGGTGTCGGTACTAAATCAGATTTTGAATGAGACACATTCATGGTCTATCAATCATACAGGATTTGTGCAGGCGGACCTCAGCTCAACATAAGGAATAACTGTCTCATGATTGAAAGGTGCCTGAAAATCTGTCTTTTGAGAAGATGAGTGTTCATAATTGATGGTATTCAGCCAGAGGTGCCTCAACCATCAGCAGGAATATTGAATAGGGCCTCCAAACATCAAAGGAAAGACTCAAACAAAATATTGCTAGGGCCTTTTTACCTGCTAAGAAGGACCTTCTCCCCTCCCTTTTCTTCAACCACTGAGTACCTATTCATCTTTCATGACTCACAGTGTACCTCCTCTGAAAGCCTTCCCTACGTAAGTAACATATTCTACAGTTCCCTGCCTCTTCTCTCCTCTCATTTGTCATATGTGATTGTGATCCCTTGTCTACTTATTCATTTACCTTTCTGACTAGTTTAAGAACATTGTTCAGGGCACCTGGGTGGCTCAGTCGGTTAAGCGTCTGACTTTGGCTCAGGTCATCTCACAGTTCGTGTGTTCAAGCCCCGCATCGGGCTCTGTGCTGACAGCTAGCTCAGAGCTTGGAGCCTTCTTCAGATTCTGTGTCTCCCTCTCTGACCCTCTCCTGTGCGCTCTCTCTCTCTCTCAGAAAAAAAAAAAAGAGAACATTGTGCATGGTGAGGAGGAGTGGTGAAGGAAGAACCATGTCTTATTTGACTTCGTACACTTGGCATTTGATCTATGGTCAGGTACACAGGAGGCACTTTTATAAGATTTTTGTTGCTTTTCCTCTGTACCGTTTCTTCTGGTCATGGCATCCTCTCTTTGCTTGGAACAGATCTCACATGACTCAGGTGGGAATAATCTCACCCCCCACCCAAGTCACAGGAATGTGTGCATATGAACCAGGCCAGGTCAACCAGGGCACCATATCTGCCAAGTTACAATGATTGTTTCAGAGATTGGTTCATGACTCAGCCTTAGGGAAATCGTTATTCTCTCTGAAGATTTTCTTTTAGAACTCTTGGAAAAGACAGTTTCTTTGCCAAAGTTACTGGGAACTCTGGGCATCAGGTGGTCATCTAGCCTACTTATGTTAAAAGAGCCCATCCAAGAAATGAAGACCTCGTCTGAGTCCCTGGGTCCAGCTTTGACTGCATGTGAATAATTCCTTGTTGAAGGAAGTACAAAAAGAATAAAATTCACACTAATCTTGGAGCTCTATGGTTTCATGATACTGCTTTGTATATGGTGTACAGCTTTAGGCACTAGTGTAGAAAGAGGAAGCTGGACACTAGGATATTCCGAGAAATATGAGGTTCCATTCCCACCTTCAAGAAGCTTAGAGTCTTGTTGAAGAGATGAAATAGATAACAAAAGAATGCATGCTGTATGGAGAGCTCCACACAGAGTGTCCAATAAGGGAATGGGCAGCGCCATATTTTTGGTTGCCTCTTTCCTTGGCTCAGCCCACAGTCTCCTCCTTCAAGAATGTTCATGACTAAGTAGGCAAGCAACGATTTGAGGAACAAGAAAAGTGAGTTCTTGGTCCAATTCTTCCTTCCTTCTTCCTTCCTCTTTCTTTCTTTCTTTCTCTCTTTCTCTCTTTCTTTCTTTCTTTTTCTTTCTTTCTTTCTTTCTTTCTTTCTTTCTTTCTTTCTTTCTTTCTTTCTTTCTTTCTTCCTTCCTTCCTTCCTTCCTTCCTTCCTTCCTTCCTTCCTTCCTTCCTTCCTTCCTCCCTTCCTTACCTTTCCTTTCTTTCCCCTCCTTCCCACCCTCCCTCCCTCTCTTCTTCCCTTCCTTAGTATAGTTGATGCACAATATTACATTAGTTTCAATTGTACAACAGAGTGATTCAACTTCTCTGTTATACTATGCTCACTACAAGGATACCTACCATCTGTCACCATACAATGCCGTTACAATAACATTGACTACATTCCCTATGCTGTACCTTTCATCCCTATGATCTACTCATTCCATAACTGGAAGCCTGTACCTCCCACTCCCCTTACCCTCTTTGCCCATCCCCCTGCCACCTCCCCTCTGACAACCATCAGCTTGTTCTCTATTTATAAGATCTGGTTCTGCTGTTTGTTTGTTTGTTTGTTCCTGAATCTCTTTCTTACTTGCCATGTAAAGTATCAGTGCCAGGTACTTTGTGCCTCAGTTTCCAAATCTGTAAAATGAGGTGGTTGACCTAGACGACCTCACTAATTATAGCTGCTAATGATTCTTTCACCAGTGTTCTGTGAGTGAAAGAGCATGGGCATGAGAGTAGTTCTGGGTTCAGATCCCAGATTGACTTACCAACTCACCATGAGCAAGCCACTTACCTTTTCTGAGTTTCTGTTTTCTAATATGTTAAGTGTAATGACCCCTCACTTTGAAAGGCTGTTGTGAGAACCAAGTGAGAGAACATGTGGGGAAATCACCTAGCCCTGTGTCTAATCTTTTCCAGAAGATTCCAGTGGGTGCATGTGGAGCTGCAGCTTCCCCCTCTCTCCTCATACCTACTTCTGCCTCCACAACTGCTCATTAGCAAAGAGGCAGAGGTACCAAAAAGGGTGAAGAGTAAATCTATCCATTTGCCCTTCCTGCCTCCCAGTTAATAACAGTGATAAGAGATTTGTAAACTCGATGGGAAGAGATTATAATTAACAATCGGTTTGGGAATATGAGGACATTTTAATTCTCTTCCAACTTCTTGCCCCACAATGCAGTCCATAAAGGAGTGCTCAGCTTACCAACATAGACCCAAATCTCCTCCTCACTCTTTAAAAGGTTCTTCAGAGTTTTAAGACCTCCAGTACCCAACACGATGATGATAATGATAACTACCATTTATTGAGTGTGTACTATCAGCTGGACACTTCATATTCTTTATCTCACTTAATCCCGACAACTTTAGGAAGTCAAATACTATTCTGAATCCCATTTTAAGCTGGGTTAGAATTCCAGTTCTGCTACTTACTGTATATGTATCACTGGGTAAATCACTTAATGTGTTTGATCCTCAGTTTTCTCATCCATAGAATTAGAGATATGAGGGTCTTGTGAACATTATTCTTAATACATGTAAAGAAGTCAGCAGTTTGCCTGCTGTCTTGAGTGCACTGAGTAATATTGATATTAGCACATCAATATCATTTTTTACCCAGCTGTTGGGCTACTCCATAAGGATTTATGACTGAATGGAAATTGGCTTAGATGGCCACTAATACCGCTTTTGACTCTCCACAGAGTTGAGGGGAAAGCAGGAGAGTGAAGTGATCAGACACATGGGCATTTTGGAATCATATTGACCAACTGTCAAAGTGAGGCTGTGCCTCTTTCTTTATGGGTGACCTAACCAAAGACCATGGTATCTGTCTGTCACTTACAGTTGGCTATGAAAGTCAACTAAGAATTTATTAAAGCATCAGCACAATGCTTGGTATATAGAAATGATTTAATAAATGGTAACTATAAATGCGATTATCACCTTCCTCTGGTTCCTGTATTGGAATGATGGTGCAGTCATGAGGTTCATTCCCACTGACTCCCCATTTTCTTGGTCGTTATCAAATAATGAAGACATAATGTTGCAGAAAGGTTGGTGCAGATACTCCCTTAGGAACTTCTCCGTGTTAGTGCCTGTGTTGGTATAAGATATCATTTTCTTTTCTAGCTAGTCTTCTTTCCGGAAATGCACATCTTTGTTTGGGTGATTTTGAGAGAAAAAAAATCTATGAATAAGAAAGAACTAGGTTGGTCTTTCCCTGAAGTAATTAACAGAATTTATTTTAAGGATTACTTTAAAGACACATATGTCTTTCTGAGTCATTACCTTGAGTAGTTCAATTCTGATTTAAATAGTAAGTCATTCACCTGTGCTCTCTGCTGTCTAGACAGCAGTACATGAGGGAAAAATGTAGTTTAGGATATATAATAAGTTAAACAATGGCCATGCAAAGAAATCAAGTCCTAGTTCTTGAAAGCTGTGGAAAAGGGGTCTTTACAGATATTATTAAGGTTTTTGAAATGAAGAGATTACACTGGATTATCCAGGTAGGCCCTAACTGTCATCATGGTGCCCTTATAAGGGGAAGGCAGAGGAAGATTTAACACAGACACACAAAGGAGACATATGGAAGAGGAAGAGGTAATGTGGCCACAGGGGCAGAGATTGAAGCACAAAAATTGGCCATAAGTCAAGGATTTCTAATCGCCACCAGAAGCCAGAAGAGGCAAAGAACGGATTCTCCCCTAGAGCCTCCAGAGGCAGCATGGCCCTGCCAAACTCCTGGCCTCCAGAGCTGTGAGAGAATACATTTCCGTTGTTTTAAGCCACCCAGTTCATGTCAGTTTGTCATAGCAGACTCAGAAAACTAACACAGGATATCAAAGCAAAATGAGACTCTGGGAGCCAGATATCTTTGAACGGGGCAGTCTGGGATTCCTTGGCATATCTCAGAGACAGGAGAGGCAGAATAAATAATTTCAGACTTTGAAGCTGAATAAATGAGGTCCCAATTGTGTTTTCATCTGTAATGATTTTGAATTCCATGTGATTTTGAACAAGTCATTCACAGGATGGCCCTGCATGTCACTGAGGAGTGGGTCTGGAAGCACACTCTTCAGAAGCTCAGGGGAGAGAAGGGCCAGTCTTGATTCAGACAGTGGGAGCTGGTTGGAGATGGAGGCATGAGTAGTAAGTATACAAAGAGCCAGCATTTACAGAACACTTACTACATGTTAGGGCCCATGGAAAGCACTGTGCATAACTTACTCATTTAATACTCGTAACTCTATGCTGTAAGTACAATTACTACTTCCATTTATAGATAAGGAGACAGATACATGGAAAGGATGAAGTATTTGCCAAAAGTAACATAGCAAATAAGATGCAAAGTCAGAATCCAAATGGTAGAATCAGAGCTTAACTGCCTAGACTTGACAGTAATGTGCCAATGGACAATGTTCAGGCAATGGTGTACCAACTGGGAGATGTGGGAGCCTTGAGCCATCCTATCCTGGGTGCATCTAGTAAAGGCACACGTTGTCTGTAGGGATTTTTTTTTTAATGTTTATTTATTATTGAGAGACAAAGAGAGACAGAGCATGAGCAGGGGAGGGGTGGGGAGAGGGGATACACAGAACCTGAAGCAGGCTCCAGGCTCTGAGCTGTCAGCACAGAGCCCGACACGGGGCTCAAACCCACAAACCATGAGATCGTGACTTGAACTGAAGTCAGATGCGTAACTGACTGAGCCACCCAGGTGCCCCGAGATTTTAAAATAGTCCCCCTTCCTTTGAGATGACGCTGGATTTAGTGACCATTTTGGACCATTCAAAATCACTTAGGTGGGCAAGATAGACTCTTGTCTGTTGATTGGTGTGTCAGCCTTCTTAATCCATGAAAGTAGAACCCTCAGGAACATTCTCTGGTTTATCTCAGCTTCCCACAAGTCATTAGCCCCTCTAGATGGCCATCAGTGGAGAACAACAGATTGACCAGGATCCAGAGAGGCATGGGGATCAGTGTGCCCATATCTGAATGGCTACCTCTCTGCCAACATAAGCCATTAACATACCCATCTAGTGTAGTCTCACTCCATAATGGCCTATAAACAAAAACAGAAAGAGTTCTACCATCCGTGTGCCTATGGGTTCCAAATACCTATTTCTAGATCTGATTTCTACCCAGACCTCAGATTAATTGACCTATTTGTCTCCATTTAAATGCCTAGTACAGCATTCAAATATTGAATGTCCCCAAACTAGTTAAAAATATCTTACCTTTTTGTCCTGGCATGGAAAGCAGTCTGTCCACCCTGACCAGGTGCTCAGCCGGCAGTTAACTGCTGTCAAGGTGGAACTCTGAACATCCCGACTTACTCTCCTATAAAGAGGAAAGATCCTTACTTCAAATTTTAAAATTTATATTATGATAATTGTTATTTTTGTTATAAATTCAAAAAAGTCTTTTAATATGAAGGCAGTTTAATAATATGAAAATATTAAGGTTTCCTCACCTTTACTGAAGTATAAATGACAAAAATTGTATATATTTTAGATGTACAATGTCATGGTCTGATGTACATTGTGAAATGATCACCACAATCAAGCTAATTAATACATCTATTCCCTCACATAGTTACATGTGTGTGTGCCTGTGCCTTGTGTGGTGAGAACATTTAATTAAGATCTACTCTCTTAGCTAATGGCAAGGACACAATACAGTACTATAAACTGTAGTCACCATGTTGTATATTAGGTCCCCTGAACTTACTCATCTTATGAATTTGTACCCTTTAACCAACTCTTCCCCATGTCCTCACCCCCTAGGCCTTTGTAACCACAATTATACTCTCTAGTTCTTTGAGTTACACTTTTTTAGATTCCACATATAATAGAAATCATGCAATATTGCCTTTCTCTGTCTGGCTTATTTCACTTAGCGTAATGTCCTCCAAGTTCACCCATGTTGTTGCAAATGGTAGGATTTCCTTCTTCTTCAGGGCTAAACAGATGTTGAATTTTTTATCTTTTTTAAATCATTTTAAAATTCAAGTCTAATTATCATATAGTGTTATATTAGTTTCAGGTATGCAATATAATGATTCAACAATTGTATGCATTACTCAGTGCTCATCATGATAAGTGTAATCTTAACCCTTTTCACATGTTATTCATCCCCCTACCCACCTCCCCTCTAACAACCACCACTTCTCCATATTTAAGAGTCTAGTTTTTTTCCTTTTTCTCTTTTTTACTTTGTTCATTTGTTTTATTTATTAAATTTCTTATATGAGTGAAATCATATGGTATTTGTCTTTTACTGGCATATTTCGCTTAGCATTGTACTCTCTAGGTCCATCCACATTGTTGCAAATGGCAAAATCTCATTCTTTTTTATGGCTGAGTAATATTCCATTGTGTATATATGCCACATTTTTATCTATTCATCTATCAACTGACACTTGAGTTGCTTCCACATCTTTTTTTAAAATTCTTTAGCATTTATTTATTATTGAGAAACAGAGAGAGCATGAGCAGGGGAGGGGCAGAGAGAAGGGGAGACACAGAATCTAAAACAGGCTCCAAGCTCTGAGCTGTCAGCACAGAGCCCGATGCGGGGCTCAAACCCACAGACTGCAAGATCATAACCTGAGCTGCAGTCAGATGCTTAACTGACTAAGCCACCCAGGTGCCCCCTCATCTTGGTTATTGTAAATAATGTTGCAATAAACATAGGGGTGCATATATCTTTTTGAATTAGTGTTTTCATTTTCTTTTGGTAAATATCCAGTAGTGGAATAACTGGATCATATGGTAATTCTATTTTCAATTTTTTGAAGAAACTCCAAACTGTTTTCCACAGTGGCTGCACCAGCATGTGTTCCCACCAACAGTGCTTGGGATTCGTTTTGTCTCTACATCCTTCCCAACACTTCTTGTTTCTGGTGGTTCCTATTTCAGCCATTCTGAAAAGTGTGAGGTTCTCATTGTGGCTTTGATTTGCATTTCCCTCCTATTAGTGACATGGAACATCTTTTCATGTAGTCTGTATGTCTTCTTGGGGAAAATGTGTGTTCATGTCCTCTGCCCACTTTTAATAGGATTTTTTGGTATTTTGGTGTTGAGTTGCCGTTGGATATTAACCCTTTATCAGACATATCATTTGCAAATGTCCTCTCCCATTCAGTAAACTGTTTTTTGTTTTATTGATGGTTTCCTTCATTGTGCAGAATCTTTTTAGTTCACCGTAGTCCCAATAGTTTAATTTTGTTTTTGTCTCTCTTGCCAAAGGAGGCCTATCTAGAAAAATGTGTCTACAGCTGATGTCAAAGAGATTATAGCCTATGCTTTCTTCTAGGAGTTTTATGGTTTTAGGTCTGACATTTAGATCTTTAATCCATTTTGAGTTTATTTTTGTGTATGGTGTAAGAAAGTAGCCCAGTTTCATTCTTTTGCATGTGGCTGCCTAATTTTCCCATCACTATTTGTTGAAAAGACTGTCTTTTTTCCAGTGCATATTCTTGCCTCCTTTGTCATGGATTAATTGACCATAAAAGCATGGGTTTTATTTCTAGGCTCTCTATCCTGTTCCATTGATCTATGTGTCTATTTTTGTGCTAGTACCATACTGTTTTGATTAGTGTAGCTTTGTATAATATCTTGAAATCTGGGATTGCGATATCCCTAGTTTTGTTGTTCTTTTTCAAGCGTGGTTCAGCTATTTGGGGTCTTTTATGGTTCCCTACAAATTTTAGGATTATTTGTTCTAGTTCTGTGAAAAATGCTGTTGGTATTTTAATAGGGATTGCATTAAATCCATAGGTTGCTCTGGGTAGTATGAACATTTTAACAACACTGATTCTCTTAATTCATGAGAGAATGGTCTTTTACCTCCTTGGTTAGGTTTATTCCTAGGTACTTTGTTATTTTTGGTGCAATTATAAATGGGATTGTTTTCTTAATTTCTCTTTCTGCTATTTCATTATTAGTGTATAGACATGCAACAGATTTCTGTATATTAATTTTGTATCCTACAACTTTCCTAAATTCATTTATCACTGCTAGTAGTTGTTTGGTGGAATTGTTCAGAATTTCCATATATACTATCATGTCAGCCACAAAGAGTGAGAGTTTTACTTCTTCCTCACCAGTTTATATCAGATGCTAAATTCTTTAATTTGTAATGTTTGCCCATTGATTCAGGCATCTAGGTACCTACAGCAGCATAACATGTACCAATGCCACACTGTATTCCCTTAACCTTTCAGGTTACCTGGTAGGAGTGGGGATAGAGAGGGAGAGAAAGGGAGTGAAAAAAAACACAGTGATTCTTACTTGGAAGGCTTGGTTGTAAGGGTACTCCCAATATTTGCATGATTTAACTTCCTTTTTAAAAATTACATGTACTATTATTTTAAATTAACATCCGAGTTGTCAGCATATAGTGCAATAATGATTTCAGGAGTAGAATCAGCGATTCATTCCCTACATATAACATCCCGTGCTCATCCCAACAAGTGTCCTACTTTGAAAATGAAAGGCCTCTGCCCTTTCTTTGTTTTTCTATTTTTTGTTGAAGTAAAAGACACCTTCTATACATGTAAATATCCTAGTCATTTTAAACATACAGTTCAGGGACATTAAGTACATATTTTTGTGCAGCCATCACCACTGCCCATTTCCAAAACTCTTTTCCTCTCCCTGCATTAATTTTGAGATGCAAAATTTAAGCAAAGGAAAAGGCTGTACATGTTTTCTTCCAGCCAATCACAGTTTTGAGAAATGAAGAATGAAAATTTATTGTGCTCCTACTGTATGAAGGTGTGATGCTGGAGGGTTTATAGAAATTAACTCTTTTAATTCTATATCAATCCTATGTGGATCAAGGTATTCTAATTTTAGAGACAAATACAGAGGAGAGCTTGCATTTCTGTACATTAATTTTGTATCCTACAACTTTATCCAGTTTATTGATCATTTTTAATAGTGTTTGGTGTAGTCTTTAGGGTTTTCTATGTATAATATCATGTCATCTGCAAATAGTGACATTTTTACTTCTTTCTTGCCAATTTGGATGTGTTTTATTTCTTTCTAGTGTCAGATTGCTGTGACTAGGACATCTATGACCATGTTGAATAAAAGTGGTAAGAGTGAACATCCTTGTATTCTTCCTGATGCTAGAGAAAACGCTCTCAGTTTTTACTATTGAGCATTATGCTGGCTGTGGGTTTGTCATATATGGGCTTTATTATGTTGAGATAAGTTCCCTCTGAACCTGCTTTATTGAGAGTTTTTATCATGAATGGGTGTTGAATTTTGTCAAATGCTTTTTCTGTATCTTTTGAAATGATCATATGATTTTTATCTTTCATTTTGTTAATGTGGTGTATCATGTTGATTGATTTATGAATACTGAAAGAGTCTTACTTCCCTGGAATAAATACCACTAGATCTTGGTGAACGATCCTTTAATTATGCTGTTGAATGTGGTTTCATTAATATTTCGTTGAGGATTTGTGCCTCTGTGTTCAGCAGAGATGGCTTGTACTTTTCTTCTTTTGTAGTATCTGTTTGGTTTGGGTATGAGGGTAGTGCTGGCCTTGTAGAATGTACTTGGAAGCTTTCTTTCCTCTTCTCTTTTTGAAATATAAGGAAGGAAAATATGTATTAACTCTTCTTTAAATGTTTCACAGAGTTCACCTGTGAATCCATCTGGTCCTGGACTTTTGTTTGTTGGGAGTTTTCTGATTACTGATTTAATTTTTTACTAATAACTGGTCTGCTCAGACATTCTGTTTCTTCCTGATTCAGCTTTGGAAGATTGCCCATTTCTAGGCACTTACCCATTTCTGCTAGGCTGTTCAATTTGTTGGCATATGATTTTTGTAGTAGTCTCTTATAACCCTTTGTATTTCTGTGGTGTCGGTTATTCCTTCTCTTCTTTCACTTCTGATTTTATCTATTTTGGTACTCTCTTTTTTTTCTTAATGAGTTTGGCTAAAAGTTTATCAATTTTGTTTATATTTTCAAAGAACCAAGAGAATGAATTTTATTGAAGAGTCAAAGTAGCAGAAGGCCCAGTGGTTAAGAATATGGGATTTAAGTAAGAGACCGACTTTGAAGATTTGAGCAGGTTACTTAACATCTCTGAGCTACAGTTTTCCCATCTGTAAAACTATGTTAAAAATAACATTACTAATGGTGTTATTGAAAACAAGTTAAAATGTTTGTGAAGTATTTATTAAAGGTTGGCTTTTGTTATTACATGCTAAGATGTCACATGGATTATCTCATTTGATATCTATAATGACCCTAGGAAGTAAATATTATTAGCCCTATTAATATATAAAAAAGTTGAGATTTCTAAGAGCTAAGTAGCCC